CATTGCCTGCGTGTGTTCGCTGTAGCCAATGCCCAAAGAACCAGAAAACGTTCGTAAAACTTTCCCAGAAGTAGCACCTGTTGACCAGAGCGATAAGGGTACATTGTTGCCAAGGAATCTTCGCAAATATGGGCAATCCGCATTTGCTCCTACATTGTTGTTTTGAACGTGTTTGCTGTTCCCAAACATAAATGGTTTTTGTGGATAGCCTATCAAGACTCGGTATCTGATGGATTCCAAGCGTTCGGTGATGGTAGAATGGAAAATTGTTACCTTAAAACTTTTTCATTTCCAGTTTGCTCCAACGGCTGTCTACTTATGTGGCATCTCCAGCTGGAAATTAACCAATAAGCCTCTCTGTAGAAATATAGTAGTATTCTTGTAATGTCTTTTGTAATTTGATACTTCAATAAACAGAACTTTGAATTCCTCTTTCGCTCCATATGTACTTGTTTTCAAACAGGACTATAACAAGTCATAAGTTTTTGTACTGTCATAAATGTTACAACTGGGTGTGAGATCTATGATTTCTGTATATTCACACATTTCTATGTACTGGGCAACATGAAAGATGCTAGCTAAATATGGTAGACGTGTGAGAGAGAAAGAGCGATATCAAGATCGTTACAGTTTATATAGAGATGAAATACTGCCCACCTACTAGACCTCTTCACCATTTTCGTCTAGAAGGTGTCTTCAGCCATATTTGAATCCAACCTTAGAGGGATATTATCTGACTTATTTAACGTGTCTATTAACGCTTCTAAAATCTTTAGCACATTAAGGATGATGGGTATAAAACACTTTCTTTGTCGTGTACTCTTTTTATTAGATTTTGAAAAGAAACCCATCTTGACTGCTCTGTTGCTCTTTGATATTTAAGATATTCAACCGTCCAAGACTTTTAAATAATATATTCCTTCAATGTGATACATAACAAAACAAGAAAAAAAATATTTCGTTTTAAAAGGAAATGGGAAATTTTTTGGCAAACCGGCGTTAATATCGTAGGATAAGCATTGGCCAGAGCCTCGCAGATCCATTCGCTACTGAACAAGTCGAGGTGATCTGTTATCGTGTGACTTCTTTCTCTTTCTGTTATAGAAAATAATTCAGATTCAGTGCTAAACAAATAAGGGTGAAGTCTTCTACTATATCATCATCACCATCATGTAGAACACACAATTGCTGCCAATGATGGTGTTTATATCAGCTTTGTAATTCAATGCATGGGAGAAGAGGAAGAAGAAAGATCAGGTGGAATAGGAACTGGCTATACTTGAAATCACTAATTGGCGCCGAATAGGGGAGAAAGAAACGACAAGCATGCTATTGCTGCTCGGCTACAATCGTGTTTGCTATACCTATATTAATTTAGAAGAAGAAGAAGAAATGGAAAAATTTTTATACTTATTAGTAATTATATAATTATGGAAATTATGGAAGAATAATAGACAAAATTCCCGAAACTTAACTTACGGGCGATTAAAAAAATTAAAAAAAACTACAAACTTAAACTCAACGTTTGATTTTAAATCTGGCGATATTATAGCGGTTCTCGAATGGTGTTTAAATGGTAAAGCTCCTCTAGGATTTTAAATGTCAATGATAAATGTCAGCAATTGGTTTTAAATTGACAAAAAAAAATATATATATATAAATACTTCAGTTAGCTAAAATTTTTATTTTGCTGCAGCCACACAGATCGTGCGTTGAGTGCAATGAATTTGTACGCGTTTTTCTCAAAATCATTTTTTCAAACTGCATGGGCAGATTATTATCTAAAAATTTTTGTTGTAGCTTCAGAAATACATTTTTTTGTAATTTTTTTTTTTATAATTTAGCGTGTATTTTTTAGTCAAAAATCAATTTTAAAAAAAGTGTACCGATTTCACAAAAATTAGTCTAAAAATAAATCCGTACGTAATTCTAAAGACCACAGTTTGAATATCATAAAACTTTTCGCTTTTCTGTTCTGGGTCTCAACCTTTTGAAGAAACCGATCCCCCCGTGGACGCCTTTCAAAAAAAAAAAAAAACAAAAACAATCAATAATGGACTTTATCACCGCTATTTTGTAACAAAAATAATAATTAAAGAATATTTTTTTATAATTCAATGTATATGTAATGAAATGGTTAAATAAGAATTCTATTCCTTTTGCCATTTCCCTACAAAAATATTAACATAAATGAATATATTTTTCTACCTTTACAGTGGTTTTACACCTTAATTATAAGCCGAATTCAACAAAAATTTTTCGCGCTCGAAGAAAAAAGAAAATGATTGCCTATTCTCTTGGTAAAAAAGAACGTACTACTAGAACAACCCAGCAAAGTAAACCATGAGTGGTATAGCCTTATTTGGCTGCGAGTTGTCTTTCAATAAATCAGGGAAATCAACCACCGAAGAAGGATGACTGCTCAGCACAACAATGCGAGCTGTCACACATCAACTGAAACAATTGCATTTTTGAGCATTCAAAACGTCCATTTGATCATTTACTGTATAGTCCTGACTTGGCACCGAATGACTTCGTTTTATTCCCTTAAGTAAAGAAAATCAACTGGGAGGTCAACGGGTCTCGACACCTAAAGAAGTAATTGAGGCGTTCAGAACGCATGTTTTGGGGATACCTCAATCGGAGGGACAAAAGTGCTTCGACAGTTGGTTCAAACGCCTACTAAAGTTGTTAATGGAGATTGTGTTAAAAGACATTAACGGGCCTATTCTGTCGAGGTTACAAAATTTAGCTTGGTATTAAAATTTACCACTCAGTAAATTTTGTTACCATTTCGTATTCTGAGCTCACTGTTACGCTGTAAATTTTGTTAGCAGCGAAGTAGAAAGTAACAGAAATATCTGCTCTTTGATTTTGTGTTGTAAGTTTGAGAAAAAATAAAAAAACAAAATTGGTAGGCATATTTTAGGCCTGGAATAGATTGAAGATGAAGAACAAAGTGCAAAAAGTCGTATTTTAAGAAGTTTTCGACACTGAAAAAAGCCCTTTAATTGTTAAGATAACGTTTTCATTCAGCTTTTTTTGTTGTCCAGGCATATTTTCCATAATTAGGTTTAAATATTTATGATTTAATAAAAAAATTAATAAAACTTTTTAATTTTTTCGTGCACTGTCTTCCATTTCGATGTGTATATTTTTCTTTTTACTTTATCAACTGGCAAATGTAATTTGAAATGGACGAAAAAACAGTGCTGCCAAATTTTTTCAAACATCGTAACTAGTTCGCCAGTATCCCAAATTCAATTTCGGGTGTTAAAAAAAAGTAGCAAAATTTACTTTATCGGTAACAATTGGAATAGGCCTGTAAATCGATTTGCCATAATTAATATTAGTTTTTGTTCTCTAATCCCGAAATATATCGCTTTAAGGTCACTTTTAATTCGTCGACTCAATACAGACGATTTATTTAAATTAATAAACCAAACATATTTTCTTTAAAAAATCGCAATTTATTTATTTAACTATAAAAAATGTAGAAAATAATTATGTTTTACATACAATATAACATACAAGCACAAAAAATATTTTAGCACTTGTCGCTGTTTAAAATTTGAATTTTTGCTTCGTTATGCAGGCATAACACTAAAAGAAAACTTATTTTAAACTATTTGTATTTAGACTTAACTACTATCGAATAGCAAAAAGCAATAAAATTGAAAATAAATAATTACTTAAATAAATATATTAATTTAAAAAGATATTAAGAGATAAACAAAAATGATTATGATTATGATTGTATAAATAATTATGAGTTATGAGTTGGATATTGAATTAGAACTGCACTGATTTTCGCATAAAAATAATTACGCTTGTTGCAAATAGTCCAATAAGAGAAATGAAATTGATGGCATAACAAAATGTGAGGAAGTAGAGAGCTGTGAGCTGCAGTGAGATGCAATTTCCAAGATATGTACATACATATATATGTATATGTATGAGCAAACACGGAAGTACGCATTGAAGAATAGAAAAATGTTGAAACTGACAATAATTGAAATATAACTGTAAATGATTAGTACAGTTGTATTATAGGAAGAGTTCAAGAGTTATTATATGAAGAAGAGCATCGGAGAAAATGGAAAAGTAGAATATGGAGTTCACAAAAGTTCACGACTGAATGCGTAAGCGCAATAAGAAGAAGGCGAAAAAGCTAATGTAGATATATAGTAAGTAGAAGTAAAAGAGGGCAACCAGTAGAGTTGAGTGCAAAAAAAAAAAATATTAAAAAACATTGAATTTATTGACGTTGGAGGCAATGAATCAAGACTAATAACAGTATTTGATATACTCGAAGCAGGGAGTGAAATTCATAGCAGAAGAAATTTATTTGTTGGAAAAGTAGAAAATTTATAAACCGACACATATGAAGAATGTGTATGTATGTATGTATACACGCATGAGCTTTTCAAGAAGCATGAAATGCGCTCAGGCGCCAACGTAAAATTGCTAGAACGTATAGAAGTAAGAAGAAGAGCTAGAGAGAGAGAAAATTGCAGGTGTTTGTGTGTGTTTGTGCGTGTGTTTGTGTAAAACAGAAACAGTAGCAGAAATTCTAATTACAAAATGTTGCACAATAAAAGAGCGGCAAATATCAGCATTAATTTCATTGTTGCTTTGCGTTGCTGGTGTTGTTGTTTTTGTAGCTATTGTTCTGCTTCATATTTTTGTACGTGCTACACAACATCCATAAGATGATTTACGTTTACTGCTGTTGCATTGTGGCAAGAATGCGATAATGTGAATCTTTTATATGTAGACGTGTGTGTGTGTGTGTGTGTGTGTGTGTAATTGCATCAGGCATATTGCACATCGAATTTAATGCAGTTATTTCTAATTGTTGTTGTTGTTGTTGTTGTTGTTGTTGTTGTTGTTAGACTCCTCGCCACAACTACCAATTACCGACTGCCAGTGACTACTGTTTATGACTTTTGCACTTGTTGCTGTTGCTGATGTTGTTGCTGCTGCTGCTGGTGCTGCTGCTGTTGTTGTAACGATAACGGTTGTTGTTGCTGATGTTGTAGTTGTTTTGATTGCTGTTGCTGCAGTTGTTGTTGTTGTTGATGTTGTTGATTCTGTTGCGCATATACACCAGCCGCCACGTGCTTATTACTATAACCCCGATAAGCCAAATCATGAGCCTCATTCAGTGAACGTCGATCATAACCACCGCCCGAAGACCAGCCGCCACCACCACCACCGCCAGATGACCAACCCGAAGAGCCACCGCCACCACCACCACGTCCGGACATCAATTTCTTCAGACCCATCATGCCGGCCATGAGCAGAGCAATCTTCGAGACGATCAATGCTTTGCCGGCCATCATGTAGAGCATACCCATAGCGACGGGCAGCATGCCGATCATTTTCATAGCCATGCCCATCATCATCATGCTCATCATTTTCTTCATTTTACCGCGACCTGGAGGTGTGAAGAGCAAAGAGGAAATAATGAAAAGGAATGCATGAAAAAAGGAAAATTGTTAAATATTATATTATATTATATAAAGCATATTTGTGGGGGTGAAATCGGGCAGACAAATTCGGAAAGTGAAAGTGACAAAATGACTAAATATGAGAAATGAATTACTCGTATATATGGAGGCTTAGAGTCTTTCGTTGAAAGGTGAGCGAGGCAAAAATGGAATAGTAAAATAAAATTATATATAAAATTCAATAAAAAAAAAAAAATTAACAAATAAAAAACAACAATTCAACTTCGTTTTTCAATAAAAAGTGTTAATTCATTGATTAATTGCTACTGACATAAGTTGCAACACTTTCAACGCCAACAACAACAAGCCTACTTGTTATGCACATATTTGTACACATGTATGCTGCTGTAAACACTTGCACATCTGCGGGCATCGCGCGCTTGCCCGCAAAGCATGCAGCGAACTCATTTCACTCGAACACATGTCAATCGGACACGCGTTTACCCAGAATTGGGCAAAGAGCTTTGTTCGAATGCGAAAATAATGTGAAATAAATTAAATATCTGATAACAAGTTATCGCTGAATTAAAATGGCTACTCGTATTTTGCCAACGCTCATTTCACATTTAACTATTTTTGCCAATTAGGAGATGTGACATGCACCAAGTGTGCCTCACTTGGTTTAGCCATGCAGTCATATTCCCTCCTTAGCAGCGCGAGTTTTCACTTGCATTTGTCGTGGTTTGTCATTGGCAATAAAATTTCCAATAATTTCTTTTTTGACATTAAATAGTTTGGCATTTAATAAATTGAAATTCTGAACCGGTTTTGCAGGTTAACAAGTTTTAATGTTGCAATAAATATTAAACGAGCGTTTTTTATCATACTAAATTTACACTCTCAATTAGAGATTGGAAATATTGGTCATTAAAATGCTGTCACGTGAATTTACTTATTCAATGAATTTTTGCAGACTAATTTTTATGCTTGAAAGATTAAAAAATTTTTCTTAATTTTTTTTTATTTTTATTACAGTGATTTTTTATCATTTTGATTATTTATGGTCTTCTAGATAAAATAATGCCGCTAATGCCATATTGAGAATTTATAGATCTTTAACTTTTTAAAATATTTGTAATATAGTAAAAAATTTATTAGTATTTGTGTTGTTTCCTCACAGAAAAAAAAGAATTTCAGCATGGGCTATAACCTTGCTAATCTATTTTTCCTAATTAAAATATCATTTTTACTTACTATCCAGATTTGAGCGATTTTTTATTATCTTCAACACCAACAAAGCTGGTTAAAGAAATTTATTTACTTCCTTCAATCCTGTTTGATCTTTGATTGTGACTGCATAACGACATATTTTTTGCCATAAATGTTAATAAACTTTTTCTTAATCTGGATTGCAATTTAATTAATTTAATTACCGTACTTTATTTAATGCGAATATTTTTATACGAAAACTTAAAATTGTAAAGATTTTTTTATGAAGAATTTGACCAAAGGAGAGGTAAGTATTAGGGATTGGAAAGCGATTATTTAAAAAAAATCTTTTTAGCTTAGTAATTGATTATGCAGTTGCAAACCTACTTTTTCCCCCCAGACCGTATAATATAAGGTCTAGTAAAAAGTAATCCATTATTCTTGCAAATTGATAGTTTTTAGTGATCTTTACCTCGCGTTCTATAAGTGCGATGGGATTATGCTTGATAACGTCAGAAGATGATATTTTATACTAAAAAAGATAAGGGGACGAGGTGCTAAGTATTACACACGAAATGCTTTGGACTACCAGACAAAGGCTGGATACACAAAGAAGTGGCAGTACGCATTGCTAACCACTCGGCTATCGCGGCCGCCTGGATCACTTATAGCTAAGTAAAACAAAAACATTCAAAGTCGAAGGGCTCACTGCATAATGGGTCTCCAAACCAGAATTGGCCTTTAGGAATGTTTTGTTGTGAGTTGAGCGGGATTGACAAAGAATTTTTAACTATGATGGGCCGTCTGATGGAAGCACCGAAACCTAGAAGAGCCCAGCCAAAAGGAAAGGAGTTGTGTTTCATAAGCACAACGTCAGACCACACACATTGGTAATGCTCGCCAGAGGAGGACAGAAGAGGATCTTACGCATCTATCTTATAGTCCGTACTTCGCACCAAGTGATTACCGCCTGTTCCAGCCTAAGACGAATGAATTGGTTGGTGAAAAATTGGCTTTAAGAGAACCTGTGTCTGTCTATGTAAGAGCCAAAATGGCATTTCTTTCAGAAAGTCTAAATTCCTTGTAACATACAGGAAAAATTAAAAATATACGGTACTGAGACATAATTTCATCACTTGGCTTTGAAAACCCCCTAATTACTTTGTTGAAAAGACTTCTCTGTTCAAAATGTCTCGAAAAACAATGTAATGGATTTAGTACATTTATTAAAGACAGTAGCATGTTGTATGTATTGTAGGTATGTATGTAGGGAGTGTGAAATACCATTGAAGACTTTTGAAAACCAGGAACTATAGCAAAATAAGAACCGACCGATTCTTGAAAAAACTTCCCATGATGGCCCAACCAACGCGATGCAAAAAATCGTGACTGTACGAGTGTTAATATCTTTGAGTTAGAAATTTATGAAGTAAAAGCATGCATAATTTCGTATGAAATGTGGACTAAGTATCGCAGAAGAAGCCAACAAATAATAGATTTTGGCTCAAGATCTGATGCCATCGATGAACGATGCAAATCGGGCGCATTGATAAAAATCCCAACCTGGTACGAGGAGTTTGAGAGAACTGCCGTGTGGGAAGTTGAGAAAAAATTAAAATCAATAACCTTTGAAATATGGGGACCAGAATATACAAAGGAAGTAGGCGCCTAAATTTTTCTCTGCGAAAAATCTATCTATCTATACATATATAAATATATAGCACACTACATGAATGTCAACCCCTCTGAGTGTATTTCTGGCATGAAATATAGGCTCCTCCTAAAAAACCTATCAGCCGTTCGGAGGCGGCTTAGTATAAACTGTAGGTCCCTCCATTTTTATGGAAAAACATAAAGGCGCAAAACCACAAATTGGAGGAAGAGCTCGACCGAAAATTGCTTCAGCGGTTGCAAATATTTTGAATAAAAAACCAAATTATTTTCCTTTTTTTAATATATTTCCATGCAAGACGAATACATTTCTCAGATCTTTCTCTCAAATTATTTATACTCTTCAAAAATGTTTTCTTTTCATCTTCATAACACACTTTTTGCTTCCTCCACAATACATTGTTTGTATACATTAGACACGAATATTATGTTTGGAAGTAGGTAATAATCAACGGATGTCAGTCTGTAGGAAGGGCAACTTCGAGGACGTTGTTTTCATTTTTCAGATAAGTTCTGCCGTCTTTCAAATTTCAGTTTACAATTTAAAAAATTCTATACAAAAGTGAGAAAATACCAATTATTGAATGTATTCTAATAAAGCACAAATAGAGGTTATTCTGGAAGACAGTAGAAAAATTACAGTGGTAAATTACCAACAAGATAACCTGATTCTGAACTCTAGCTATTAGAGTTTTCGAAAAATGTGCTGATATCATAAAGAGGGGGGGTTGATGTGTTTGAGATAAGAACATAATAGCGTCCATAAAAATTTGGAATAATGTTCAGATCGGTGGACGAATATTTTTTTTTAATATAATATTATATTAAGTGTAATTGGAAATCAATTACGTTAGACGCTTTTAAGTGCTTTTTAGCATAATTACAACAATTAAAATATAAGCATAATCAGAAAAAAATTATTGGAGAGACCATTTCTGTGTCTCCAATGTCGATATGCCTTCTTATCAGGCATTTAGGTAAAATAGTTTATTTTTATCTCTGTCGGGCAGTTATTGAGAAGCGTGAATTATTTTCCTCATACCAACGCAATTTAGCCTTTTTTTTTTAAAAAACTCAATATATTAATTTAATTTTTTTTTGCCCATTATTTTTCATCACATTTTATTAATCAAAGTTATTCTCAGAAATGTGTCAGCAAAATGAAATCTAAAAATATTAAAAAAAATACACAATCTCCACACACACTTTCTATTTACCAGTGTATTATTTGCAAATTTCCACTAGTTACCCTCAAAATCGGCAAAGCATAATTCCAGCGATGAAAAATTTAATATATTTACTTAGCGAAGTTCAATTTTTTGTGCATCATTGTTAAAGTTTTCAGACTCTTGTAAGTTTGTATAATAAATTTGAGAGAATAACACAGAGGTGATGAAGCTAAGAATTCTTTGCTGCTTTTTGAGCTCAGCCATCTGTGCGATTTGATAATTATGCACAACTGTGTGTGTTTGTATGCGTGAATCTAATTATCTCATAACATGAATTCTGTAGCTTCTTTAAAGGCTAATTACAAAGTAGAAGAAAGCGCATTGTTGTTGGGTATAAATAGATATTCATGCACGTGAGATACGCGGAGAGTATATTTATTAATAAATATAGATAGCTACACTGGGAAATATTTATACTTTGTAACAGAAATTTTATTTTTTACTTGTAGGCTAGATTTCATTCATTTAAAAAAACAAATATTTTTATAAAAAAGTCATATTTCCTAAAATATTATTATTCTTAAATGACTATAAGTACTAAATATAGTAATTTGATTTAAAATTAAGTTTGTACAAAAAAAACTTTCAGTGTGAGAAAGATGTTATGAAAAATTTTCTGACATTTTTAATTATTTTCTCTTGTGGTATGAAAAGTGTGCACTAATATTACTTGTTATTTTGTATATACGAAGGTGTTCATAAAATTAACACACATGCACACACACACTAGAACTGACTAATACATAGTATTGGTATGTAGACATACAAACTTAGTATAACAAACGATTTTTCGGTCTGTGCATAATGTGACTGAAATACCTACATAGGCATATGTTTGCACGATTTTTTTATTATTCTTTCACAAATTTATTATTCTAGTCCGAAAGCTGTCTGCCGTTGTGCAAACGGGAGCAAGAGCCGCTGAAGTGTGAATAACGTATAAATTGCTTCAAATATGACTGAAATTACAAGAAAATATGGGTATATGTATGCTTGTTCAGTCAAAAGTGTGAGCAGAGCGTACATAAGTATACATTTACATATTCATATATCTTCTGGCGAACGAATTTAATGCGATAATTAGTTGTCAAATTTATGTGGAGTTTTAATTATTTTAAAGATAAAGATATAAAATATTTGCTTGAAAGTACTGTCATTTCAAAATCTACCATGAATACCAAACATTCATAAGCCTATAAGTCTCACTAATCGCTATAAATATAAAATTTGTGCCCAGAAACATATAAAAAAAAAGTTCTGTATTCAGTGTTTTCACAATATGGCATCTCATCCACTCCAGGATTGGCCCCTTTCTAATTTCATCAACGACATTGAGATTTGCTTTAAACACGCGAAATTTTTACTATACGCCAATGAAACAAGGTCTAAATAGCCGAACTTCTTGGAGCATCAAATCCAAACTCTTATATTTACTTTCTCGAAGTCTTTAAACTATTTCCCATTCCCATATAATCTATTTGTTTTGAATCTTTTCAAAGTTAAATAATTTTCTGATCTTGGAAAGAAAATAAAATAAAATAAAATAAAATAAAATAAAATAAAATAAAATAAAATAAAATAAAACAAAATAAAATAAAATGAAATAAAATAGAATAAAATAAATCAAATGAAATACAATGAAATATTGAACAAATAAAAAAAATGGAAAATAGATTATATTAATTAACAATAAATGGATAAATAAAGAAGAAAGCAGAAGAACATTCATATTACCTTGGAATTTTGTAATAGATAACCTTCATCGTAAGGTAATTAATTTGTTGAGCTTAGGGACAACATTAGAAATGCAAAAAAAAAAAAATCATAATATAAACTATAATTTTTCGCAACTTATTGTGTTAGAATTTTCTTTGTTTTTTTTTTTTTGATATTTGTTTCAACGATAAGATGCATTGTAAATTAACATTATAATATATTCGGTTACATTTTCAGCACATTGAAAAGCATTCATTATTTGAATCACTTAGTGCATGCGCAAAAAGCTGGCTTTGGATTTCTATCTAACCTCCAAGTCGCTTAAAACTATAGAAAATCGTATAATATTTGTAGGCGCTTAATATTATCTACTTGGCCACCGCGACAGTACATAGCCTATAGAAGACTAATGTGCTGATTACTTTTGAATGCCACAATCATTTTCACCCATTTTCCACGTGCTCTTTCTGTACCGCTCATCACCCACCAACTCACCTTCTTCCAATCCACGGCCAATTTCCTCAGCTGTCAGCTTGGGGAAATTCACTTGTAACGTGTGACCGTTAAAAAAGTAGCTCAAACGTTCAATAAGCATATTTGTCAATTTCGTATCGCGATCATCACTGGAGCGTGACAGCGACGACTCCAGCTCATTCTCACTGTAGAGGGGTCGCAGGGGTAGAGGCGCCACGGCAGAGGCGGCAACACTATTTGGCAAACGCACCAATTTAATGCCATCCGCTACGCTGATTGCATCGATGTGCGATATGCGATCAATGAAGGAGATGGCCTTCTTCTTAAGGCATGGCGCAAAACCACCAACCGAGTGACTGCACTCATCGTAAATGCGTAGAACTGTGCGGGTGCCGGCATTAGCTGTGTTTGAGGCAGACGTAGCAGGAGATGCTGATGATGATGATGATGATGATGTTGCTGCTGCTACGGGAGATTTGTTTGCTGAAGCGGCTGCTGATAATGCAGCTGCAGCTAATCCTTGCTGTGTGTATGGAAAGCTGGTGAGATTCTCAGTACCGGCATGACAGACGTGCAGCAGGAGGCAAAGATAAAGCGCGAACATGTAATACCAGGCATGGGCGCTTTTCTTTACTTTCGTATGCGTAAATGTCTGTTTGTAAACCATTTTGTGAAATTATTAGTTTTTCTCTGTTTCTTTAAATCAAAGTTAGACTTTTAATTTATTTTTTTTATTTTTTAAATATTCACACTTTCTTTTTGCACACAGTTTATTGCCACCTTTTGCAGTTGTTTATGTAAATTGGTTATTTTATTTAATTCATTAGCTCACGCAAGATATTAATTCATTTGTATTTCTTGTTTTCTTTCTGAAGTATCCTTGCTTATAATGAACACACACACGCACACATGAATAGCAAGCTATTCAACCAAAGCGGCTAATGACTGACTGGCTTCGAGTATGCTTTATATATAAAAATATTTGCCACAATATATTTGCCACTTTTACTATTGCTTTGCGTCGCTTTTATACTTTTTTAACCGGCTGAAGCGGCTTCTGGCAGTCTTCAAAACACACTGATGCCACCGCAAAGCGCGCTTGATTCTTTTATAGACACCTCTTTTATTCACATTAAAAGCCAGCAAAGAAATTATTCATTACTTTTCTTTTGATTTTTCACATTTCTTTGCATTTTCATTGCCATGGCTGGGCTTAAGCGCCGCTTTGTTGCTGCTTCCACTGCTTTTGCTGCAGGTTTTAGTTGTTGGCAACATTATTGGCTCATGCACTAAACAACTTGAGTCGGCAACATTGTTGCTAAGCATATAAATACATTGTTTGTGCAAAAATTTTTTTTTTTCGTTTTTAGGAATAATTCCTGTAATTTTATTTTATTTTTCGTTCATTTCACTTTCGTCATTCAAGTTTGTGAAAACAATTTGCATAAACTTAATTCTCAATTCCAGCTGCTATGTTTATTTTGTTTTGTTATTTTATATGCTACACCCACAGTCCTTGAAGACTTCTTTCTCCAATTGGCGATCCCTGACGTTGACACGACGATTGTCAACACTTAGAGAAGCCGATAGCTAAGACTAAACTAAAAAATATATTCAAGATAGCTTTGTTTACTTATTTTGTTGTTCTTTGCAAAGCTGTTGGCGCTCAAAAAAAAAAAAAAAGAAGAAAGAATAAAAATAAAAAAACAAACAAAAAATAAATGCAAGATTGCAGTCATTGCTTTGTTTGCATTTTTTGTGTTTTTTCTTGTTGTTATTTGCTCATATGATTGTTTTTTTCAGTTTCTCTCTGTACTAGTTTTCTATTTGATTTAAGGCAAAATGTGCAGCAACTTGATAGCCTTTGGGTTGTTTACCAGCGGCAGGTTAGCGAGTTGACATTTTGTTGAAAAGTGCAAGTAGCAGTTTGACTTCTCAAGTTTACGATTTGGTTTTCCTTTGAAAGGATTGGTGAAGTACAAGATTGTGTCAACAATGTTGCGGTTACAAACATATATTTTGTCCCCAAAGGTCAGACACACAAACAAATTTTCCTTTTGTTTCTTTATATCAGCTTTTTGTTTTATATAAAAAAAGTTAAGAGAATCAATGAAAAGCTAATTTTCACAGTCAGCTGGTGGCTGTGAAATACGAGTACGACATAATCTTTTTTTTGAATTATTTATGATATCACTTCCCATTATATATTGTGTGATGATTACAATATCACCTGAAACCGGTTCACATCATACCTTATTGTATCATTAACCTCCCATAGCAAAATTTAATTAACAGTTTTTGAGTTCGATCTTCGTGTGATGCCCTTTCACGACCTCAACATCACATTACTCCAAAACTATCGGTTGATATCATCATCAATGTCACGCCTTAGTTATCATCTCAAAGCTTTACATATCCAAAATTTAATAGCATATTTTTAATGTTGATTTTATATTACTATATAACTATATACAATATCGTATCGTATGACATCACATCACATCATCAAATCAGCTGACATCATAGCAAGTGATTTGCTTACAGTGATTGGAAGTCAAATAAAATGAATAAGAAATAAGTTTTTAATTTCATCTTTGTGGGATAGCATTTCACTATATCGACATCATTTGATGCAACATCACATCATCTCAAATTGACTGACATCATAACAAGTCGCATCACAGAAAATAATCACATCATTTACCTACACAGCACATCATAAAAAATCGCTTCGGGAGTCACATAGTTATTTGCAAATGAAATGTACTTTAAGAGAAAGGTTTATATTCTAACACAAAAGTTGCAAGCAAACAATTGAACAATCATTTCATCATGTCAACATCACATCATTTATCATCACATCATATCACAACAAATCGCTCAACAATAAATTGAATCGCATAGCTGCAAGTGAAATGTAATTCAAGAGAAAAGTTTATATTCTATCCCAAAAAGTGCATGTATTGTAATTGAACAACATTTACATACTTAACCTAAGTATGACATCATTTCGTGATGTCAACATCACATCATTTACCATCACCATTATTACAGTGAATTGAATCGCAAAAGCTGGAAAAAAATTATAATTCAAAAGAAAGGTTTAAATTGTACCGCAAAAAAAAAATAGTTGAGAAGAATTGAAGAATTGATGTTTGTATGATATCATTTCATCATGTCAACATTGCAAATCATCATCGCATCATATCATAGAAAATGGTTTCACAGTAAAATGAATCTCATAGCAGCAAATGCAACGTAATTCAAGAGAAATAGCAGTTCTTTCTCGTATCACATTACTGAATATTATTTTTCATCTGAGTTTCGCTGGCATAACATTATGCCACACGCCTTATTGTTCTTACAACATAAAATTTTGATAAAAATCAACAAAGCTAATAAATGATTTTAAAAATTAATTTAACTAGATAATTTCAATGACATATACAAGCTCTAAAGTATATATATAAATATGTTTATATATCACTTTGATGTATTTACATGCATTCATATATAGAACTGTATGTCTGAATATCTACAATATGGTTTCAAAACTAATTTCACTTTCACAGCCACTTAGTGCCGGTATTACAATACGCGGGCAGTATGAGTTTCTTGCTTTCAATTGCACGCTTGGCGTCTATTAGGGCACGACAAAGGTCAAACATAGAGCGGCGTAGCGAATTAAGCGTTGAACAAGTACTGTAAAACTAGCTTAGCTTAGCCACGAATGTCTCTACCGGTACTTTCCCTCTGTACTTAACAAAGTGCGCGAAAGATAAGCGTTGCTTTCCAATAAGTATGACAGGTGTTTATGCTTGCATGGTAGATTTTGGCAACAATTTTCCCGCCATTTATTTTGATTTTTTGCGCAGAGCTCCTTTTTTGCTTTATTTTCATCGTTATTTTTAAAAAATATTATTTTATATATAAAATTAAAATGATTGCTAGCATGGATACCGCACATACTCGTCGTACATATATACTTATAAAATACATATTATGAGCTTCACGTCATATCGACTGTGCCTACTGAAGTGGAAACTTTCTGCACTTATAATATTGCCAATAACAACGTACCACAATATGCTCGGCTAGGAGTGAGGTGCATGTACTTGACTTGATAAGCTTAAGTTATACGTAGCAATGTACGCATTTGATACATGTATGTTTGTTTGTACCTTTGTGCTGTTATGATAAGTTCATTGGCTTTTGTTAGAGATAGGATTTGCAGTAAACATAAAGTTCATGTTATGCTTGAGAAAAAATAAAAATAATATTAAATTGATAAATAACAACAAATATAAAAAAAAAAAATTAAAAAAATTAATAAAATTAAAAAGAAAAAAAAACACATTTTTCTTATTCATTAAATGGTTTTGCTCGGTAGTGTTTAATGTTATGGGTGGACTAACTGTACAAGCCTTTAATATCAATTGAGTAATGCTTTAATTTTTTATTGTCATGGAATCGTTATCAAGTGCACTTAGGCCTACATACTCTTTGTGATACCCATATTGGTCCTGTTGTGGAGATTCTTTTCATCTTTACAAACGCTTAAACCACTTGGTGTGCGTGATGAACTTCAGGAGATTAACAATGTCTACCGATGCAAATTCTGCAAGGCAATCGCAGAAACAAAAGAGATAATGTTCGACCGATTCCTCCTCATCTACGTCGCTGCAGCTGCGACAGAAGACGTTTGAGAAGCAGCCCATTTTTTTCCATCAGTCTCCATAAGACAGTATCCAGTGATTATGACGGTTGCTCTGCTTATAGAGATCCAATTAGAAGAATTAGTGAACTTGTTATGGTTACCTCGATTAATGACCAGATTCAGCGGTTACAAGGCGCCAGTTATATATATATTTTGTTCATACAATATATATAGACAGTGCACAATACGTGGTCTTCACCTCCATCGATCGCTGGCATTGCAGGCGTAGAGGGCAGTCAAAGCTTTCTTACAGCTTGTCGATCTCGATGCTTTTGTGTAAGGATAGATTAAAAGCAGGTAGCTTGTACCTTCATGTGAAGTGCACCAGTTCGATATTTGAAAGATTTATATCCAGACTGCCCTACACCAGCTACTCACTGTGTAAGGGGAATTTTCAAGCAGATCGCTTAGCACCTGGAGGTGTTTTCCAGTGTGTTTTTATCAGTTTATGAATCAGCGTGTTGACTGTAAGATTCCGCAGAAATGGAGAGAGAACATTATAGCCCTAGAATTTTGCAATACATTGTAATACTATTCTGTTCTGCAACGTATTGAGTAGATGGTTGCTTCAAATTCGTTCAAGATTCGACTTTGATTCGAAGTTGATAAAAGAATATATTGTACTATTTGCTTTTCCGTTTTTTTTTTTCACTGAACAAAATTTTTCGGAAAAGATTGAAAACACTTCCATTTAACCAAAGTTTTTTCTCCTGCTGCTGACTTGTAGCACAGCGATACTTAATGTATGTGCCTCAAATATATGCATCTACCCAAATTCCAACTAAACTAAAATCCAAATAAAGCGTAGAACATAAGAATCGTGTGCATGTTTACAGCAAAAGAAAGTAGTCCTAATGTCGAAATGAAAAAAATATAAAAACCCATAAAACAGAAAAGGCCCATGTTTTGTAGACATTTAGAAGAAATACTCATTTACTTAAGCGCGCTCATTTTGCATATGCATGCACGTCTTCCCAAGCCAACAAGCTCGTAAGCAATTATGTGACGAACCTTATTTTGTTTTGTTTTTACTTTTAAGAAAATCTTCATATT